GTGGACGAGGAGGTGGTGGACAGACCCGCCGGCGACTGTTCCCTATAACTACCGGTGCTGCCGATGGGCTTAGGCCTCGAATGAAGGACCTGTCGACTCCCCGTAGGACTGGTGGCTGACTCCTCGCTATCGCTGGTCTCGCTGTAGTCATCCCTGACGTCCCGGTGCTGTAAATAGCCGGCGATGGCGGCCGCACCTAATTTCTGCATCCATGCGCTCATCTCGTGGGCCGAGTCGGCGGCGAAGTGGAAGCACTGGTCGGTCGGATTGTATAGTTTGAAGGCGTGTTTACGGGACTTGCACTCGACGGCCGGTGCGATAGTAAAGGCGGGCAAATGGACGATACACTCGGCTTTAAGCTCCCGTTCCGTTTTGTAACAGTAAAGGGAATTGGCTTTCAATACACACCAGCGTCTCGACCACCGGGTTTGGGTGCCCAGAAAGGCCCGGTGCCGGTCCCGGCGCTGATATAGCCAGCCCTGACACTCGCCGACGCCGAGCTCTGCGCACGACACGCGCCGGGAGGCTATGGATTGGGAAAGGGATGCAAATTGTGAGTAAATAAATAATCTCTTCATAGTATACGCTAAATAAATATAATTATATTTATACATGCTACTCCAGATTTAATTATTTATACTAAAGTTTAGCTATAGATATAGTGTAGGAAAATAAACTGTTAATTAAACGGAGAATCGTTTGTATTATAAAAATAGTTATCATAATAAGGAAATCGCAAATTGAATGGCAAACCAACTGTTGTTTATATACAGCACTCAAACAAAACATACATTTAATTATAACATAAATACTAAATGAATTGAAACGTAAACTATAAGCAAGGGTAAGGGGTCGGGAGGACAGGCAGGTCCGCGGTATACATCAAACTAATTAACTTAAAACTCACTTAAAGTCAAACCTATTATAAATAAAATATAACTTTCAATAAACTCTGATCAGCATTCCCTATAGGGTGTCAAACAATATAATAAGTTTACTATTTAGCTACCGTTCCCTTACTCTAACCCTGATCTCAAAAACTAATAATAACTACAAGATCTTAACAAATACTTACAATGTCTTGACGCGGACTTCGAGTTGGATCTCAATACTGTTGGAGAGGGTTGAGGGTTAGGCACCGGGAGATCATCGCCTACTGGCGCTCGTATCTTATTATTGACTACTAGTGCTTCCTTGGCTTTCCTTTGGAGGGCCGGCGATCGTCTAACCAGTCTTTCCACGCACTGAAAGGCCGTACTCTTAGGCTGTATATCACTGACGAGTTTGTAGGACATGACAGTCACCGGACTGGGGCTTACGTGAGCTACCGGTGCCACAGTTTGTCCAGTAATACGTGGCTTACTTTCCACATAAGCCGGTAGTTCCTCATCGGCGGGAATGGGATGACAATCCTTGAGCACTGGTAGTAAATCGGGCTTATTTTCGGTGCTTACAATACGAACGGGTAGTTTTGGACAGTCGTCAATCTTTTTCGGTTGAGTCTCATTCTCGTTGCGGCCAATGATATGGTCCGCATTGGGAAAGGGATGCACTTTAGCGTAAGGCAACTTCGGTGACTGTGTGGCACTTGTGTTCAGCGCCGGTAGCTTACAATTAACACCAGTGCCGGCGTTAATCATATTATTATTATTAACAGTTTTATTATAACTATTATTGTTTTGATTATTATTACTACTGTTTATGGCAGTCGATGGCACGGGAGGTGTGGGGGCGGGGGTTGACGTGACAACAGTGGGTGGGGGCGACTCAATGGTCGCTGAAAGACCGCGGGATCTGCTCATCAAATGCTTGACTGCCGGCGCCGGCGAGTCGTGAGATATACTCCTATTAAACCCTTCTTTCCTCCGACTATTATCCATATTATGGACCAAATCCTCTATCCTTATAGGAGGCGCTCCTACCGTAGGGCTCGAGCCCGATATGGTAGCCCTGCGGCGCACCGGGAGTTTCGGTTTGCGCGGGTATAGCTGATAGACAGGTCCCGGCGCCGACTTATTCGCTATACTATCGGGTAGGAAGGCGTCGTCGTCGGCGTCGGAACCTCCAGTTCCGCCCGACGTAGTGGTCGACGCGTTTTTTAATCGACTACCGGTGCCACTGGAGGGCCTCGGCTTACGGGCCGGTATCTTATAGGGCTTAAGTACCAGCACCTGACCCATGAGGTTCGAGTGTCGGGGCCTTTTCTTGACGGTCAGTACGATCTCTGTCGGGTGCTCTCGCATCGAGTTGACCAGCTTTTTGAGCTGCCAGCCCACGACGGTCTGGTAGGACACCTGCACGATCTCGTCGCCCTCCTCCAGGCGCCCGCACCTGTGGGCCGGCGACTGAAACTTTATGCCACCGACGATATGAATGCCTGAATAGCTCGAGTGGATATGCATTCCCAGCTCCTCGTCCGCCCTTTTCTTGACGGTCACGATGTCGAGTAGGGCCGGCTGTATGGCCAGGGAGTCCCGGAGCTCCTGTACGATACGGTCGCACAGTTCCGATAATGTGAAGCACGAGGTTTGGATGACATCGTTAGGCCGCTCCACGAATTGGTCCCTTTGGGAAGTGGAGGCCAACTCTATCGAGAGCTTCAATATGGTTTTGCGCACCGGTATGTAGTTGTCCTGTCCTTCGAATGGATACCTATGGGCACAGGTAGGTGTCAAATGAGTTAATATTCGTGACTTAATTGTATGTTTATAATACTGTATAATTATAATAGTTTCAAAATAAAAATATGATTAATATATTAAGTTAACTTTATATTTAATTTATAATTATTTGAAAAACTTTTTTGTTTAAGCAATCAATCGTTTGATAATCAGTTTGAAAAATCTTGATTTCAATGATTTTCGAGTGAAATGATTAGATAATTAAATAATTATGTTAAGTTTGTAACCTGTTATTATTATTTATACCCTATTTCTTATTTATGAATTAAATTTTTTGTTTGCAATAAATTTATTTATGATTGACTTGTATTTCACTATTAAGTTATGTATAAGTTTTGAATTAGTTTAATATACTGTAGTTTTAATTAACTTTCGTTATACATAATTACAAAGTACAAACTTATTCAATAGGTTTAATAAAATATGCTATTAAATAAAATAAACTAATTAGTTTTAAAGTGCCCTATAACCTGAGTTTAAAAATTAAAACATATTAATAGTTATATAATGTTTGAATTAATACATGTTTTTAAATACTTTTTAAATAAGTAATTACTGTTTTATTTGTTGTTATAATATAAAATGTATTTATAATAAACTCTTTATATAACGAAGTGAATAAATAAATTGCTTTATTATACACAAATTCATATAAAATGAGATTATAAGAAATGTCATTTAGAGTTCATTATATGGGAGTATAAGTAGTAATCGTAATAAATAAAGTTATTAAGGGATCTGAAAATCGTTTGATTTGTTATTCAAATGTTATTTTAATTCAGCGATAAATTCCGGAGATATTTATTATAAATTTATTTTTCTATAATAAAACTTTTTTTGCATAACATTTGCGATTAAATTCTTTGGGATCTCTCTGTATCCATACATTGAGTCTCTTTTACATATCACTGAGAAATACAAATAAGAAAAGTATTTAATTTAGAAATAAATTAATTAATAAAATTAATGTAGAAATTGTCGTCTCTTAGAAGAAAATGTGTTTTATTTTTAATTAAATGAGAATTTCTTATGAAATTCAACGAAAAGTCTCTCTCTCTCTCTCTCTCTCTCTCTCTCTCTGGTACAGTACATGGAGTATATACAATGTACATATAACTGAAAGCAATGATTTCTATTATCTTGACTTGAAATTTATGATAACTTTTAACAATTTAATCGAACAAATGAATCAAAAACCAGATTTGAAAATCTCTTCGGCAAAGAAGTAGAGCTCAAACACAAACTTCACAATTCATTTGCGAGAGTGAAAGGGAACGGGAGATAATGTATACAAAACTTTATTCAATTCAACGCAACAACAATACACGAGTGCTTATAAACATTATTAATATAAATGCTATGATTTAAAGCGATTGTCTTTAAATTTAATGACAAATACTTACTCAACAATAAAGAGAAACAAAAATTATAATGAATTACAATAACAATAAATAAAAAGTACATAAAAATAATCTCAAGATATTGTATAATAAAATAATTTGTAATAAAACTCATTAATTTAATGAATTACTTAAAAAACTAAAATATAATAAAAATAAAAATAACAGACATTTAGAGATAGTGTGGATCGGGAGTGAGAGTGGAGTGTATGTACTGTAAGGGCAGGCAATGGGAAGAAATGAGTTTCATTTAATGTTGAATAATATCAAAATTGAAGTGAATTGAAGTGGACTTTCTTGAGAGCAAAAAATATAAGGCAATGAGAGAGAGAGAGAGAGAGAGAGAGAGAATTTTCATTCATTTTCTGGTTCTCTCTTTCTCTCTCTCTCTCTCTCTCTCTCTCTCTTTCTCTCACAAGCATTTAGTTATAATGCTCTCAATCATGAGTATTGTTATCACAAGAATGCTCTTTACGATTATTAAGCCTTTCTTATTGCCTATGCCTTTGACCCTATATTCTCATATAATAAGCGATTTTTTTGATCTCCTTTTCCCCACTAATTCTCTCTCTTGTATTAAGAGATAGACAGACAAACAGAGAGAAAAGACATGGAATTGATATAAAGTGTGAGCAAAAAGTAGATCCAAATTAAAAGTGGCACAGAATTACGCTCTAAGCGCTCGTATAGCTCTCTCTCTCTCTCTCTCTCTCTCTCTCGCTGCCATCCCCTGAACTCCCGGTGCTATTCCTATTATGACATGCCTTTAATCTATTAGTATTATGTGTTGCGCTAACTCCCTGTGTGTCTCTCATAATAATAATAATGTCTTATATTTTGTATCAATTCTTAACAGTTAGAAAACCCGGCCTTTTATTCGGACGTCGATCTGACGAATATAATAAGAAAAGCGGTTTATATGTCGTCCTCCGCGGAAGGAAACAAGAATCTCAATCATAATCAACAACAGCCACCGAAGCATCACCAGCTCCTCCATCAACTACCCGCCCATCCGCAGCCCAGTTATCCACTGGTGTTACCAAACAACTCGTTTGCAGTCAATCAAAACGCGCAACGACTCCGAAACGAGATCATAGCCTCGGCCGCCACACTGCCGTCCCTTCACAACAGCACCGGCGGCTCCAAGTCACCCCTCAAGAGGTTCTGGGAGTTTAAATTAAACGACCCGGACAGTGACTGTGCTATTGGACACACCAACTCCAAGATTAAGTCAAAGACATTTTGCTGGTGTTTGGCAGCTGTGGTCATGTGTCTGGCAATCGTAGTCATCGGTGTCTCTGCCTTCACGTACTTCATGGGTATGTCTGCACCACTGCCTGTCTATGAGTATGTGAGCTCTCGAGGTCTCCCTCGGCTCCCATCACTGGTTATTACATGTGATAAACAATAAAAAATCTTATATTCAATAAAAAACACGAATATATCTAATATAGGGGTTACCCATACATGTGTTGCCCCCAATGGGAGTGTAGGACACGGGATAACATGGTCGAGAAAATGCTATAAAATGTCTTAACATATCATAAGAAAACGGCGAAACCTTGAATATAAGATGAGATGTTTATATGCGAGTCGTGTCGGGGAGTGTTCCCAATGACCACCCCTTATGGTGACCCCGGGTCTTATGACACTACACCGCAACCCTAATAGATTGCATTATAAAATATATTTTCGACCATAAAGTATAGGATTTATTTAACTCAAAATATAAAAAAGTTGCGATCATTTCTAATAATAATAATAATAATAATGAAAAAAATCGTTAAAAGAAAAACTCTTTGAAAGTATAAAACGGATGAAAAAAATCAGCGAAAAAAGAGAGACTAAAACAATATAAAAAATAAGTACTGATTCTCACAAGAAATTTATATATAAGTTATATATCTGTAAGAAAAATAGATTGAAGTTTCATATAATCAGAAAAAATTGTGAAAATAAAAATCGGAAAGCCTTTTATATAATATATATTTGTGTGTCTATTGTATTATAACTACGAAGTGATATATAAAAAACATTTGGATTTGTTTTTGACTCAAAACTAAGTGAGACATACCATCGAGAAGGAGATAGGGCTACAAAAAGCCTTTTTTATACCCATTGCTCTCTCCCAACAAAAATTATTTTATTTTCTCATAAAACTCTCTCTCTCTCTCTCTCTCTCTCTCTCTCTCTCTCTCTCTCACCAATCTCTGTGTCATTGATTTAAAAATATTTCAAATATTTATGTCATAAAAATTTTTTCTATTTCAAATTTCTACTAACTTATTATATATATTACAGAGTTTTATATCAAAATATTTTATGTGTTTTCGCATTTTTATCGCAGAAAAATCACAAATAAATTAAATAACAAATTCTGTACAAAAAAAATAATATAATAAATTATGTCTGAGATTGTGAAACAAATCTAATAGTAATCGCACATTTAATTACATAATTTGTGTGTTTATTATGTAATGTATTATCGATTAGTTATCTTATTGAGGGCCGGGTTGTCATAGAGAGAGGGAAAGGCAGATAGAGAGAGAAGCAATGAATAAAACACATAAATATAAACACAGAATACAGAGAATAGTTATGTTTAACCAAAACATATACACAGAACTCGTGGGGAAAGCATAACAACACATTTCGTATAGCTTTGATGAATTGGTGATTCATTTTTTCTCATATATTCTCTACATCTTTGCTATGAGAAGCCATTCATAAATTCTCTCTTTTTTTCTCATACCATTCCCATTGTATTATATAAAAAGAGAAAATGACTATAAATACTGAGAGAGGCTATCGTTTATTAGGGAGAAGCCAATGAATAACGAGTTAAAGGGAATAACATATTGCGAGACCAAAGCACTGGTCATAACATTTTCGGCAATTTATTGTTTAAAGACTGGATTTAATACACATAACACACAAAAGACATACTCATCAGTCTCTCTCTCTCTCTCTCTCTCTCTCTCTCTCTCTCTCTCTCTGCAAATATATAAAAACATACCAAATGTTTGTTTAGAATAAATATTATAACTTTTAAATTGCAATACATTTCATACACACATATGGATTACATTTTATAAAAGTATAAAATGCAAACTTTTTACTCGCATTTCATATAATATTTTTCCTTTTAAAACATTGAGCAAATATGTGGGGTTTTGCAGAATATACAGAATATTACAGAATGTATAGAGAAATGGATTTTTAAAACTTTGCTCTGAAGCAGAAAAACACATTTTATACATAAATATATCATATGTATTGGGAAACAGTATATTCTCTCCTTATTATCGTTGTGTTAATAGTTTAGTCCATTTCTGAATAACTAATGCATTGCCATTAGAGTGAGAGAGAATTTTGAGAGAGAGAGAGAGAGAGGGAGAGAGTGAGTGAGAGAGAGAGTGAGTGAGAGAGAGAGAGAGACGTTGATATGAGCATAACTTTGCAACATTAGGTTCCCATTGGCGTGTGTGCGCCAGTATTGCAGTGTAAGGCCATTGCACTTCTAATGCCATCAAAAAACTTCTTATGTTTGTATGCCTTTTGTATACATATATTATTTTATATACTTTACTCTTATGCCATATAAGCTTTCATTGAGTTGTATACTGTATTAAGCTCTCGATTTCACTGTCACAGCAAACCATGTTATATATTGAGACTCATATAAAAAAAGTTCTGGTAATGAATGCAATGTGTTTTAATGTCATTTGTTAGCTCCCTTTCCCTCTAACTATTCCCTGTTTTCTCTGTAGACCTGTTCACATCACTATACCATTACAGACATCTCTCTCTCTCTCTCTCTCTCTCTCTCCACTTTATTGCTTGAGTCTATTGTGTTGTTATATTGATATTACAATCACTTTTAACAATCTTAATGAGTGCCACAATTTTTTTCATTGCCTTTTGTATCAATACTCACACTATAAATCATAATAATATTAAAAAATAATTATATTACTTCTTTATTATGTTATATATTCAGTTGAGTTTGAATTGGAAGCTAGATAAATTTTTTGGTTGAAATATTTATCATTTTAAATGAGTTTATAGTTAAGTAGTCATGCATTTGGTTTATGTTTTTGTATATATGGCCCCAAATCTCCGAGTATTTACATAAATATTCTGATTGTTATTATATTTAATATACTTACATTAACAAATTCATGACAATTTATAGTCTGCACAGAATATTCTGCCGTTCAAATGTAATTGCTTAATATACTTGTGTTTTATTAAATCAAAATTGCATTACATTTTGATATTAATAGAGAAATTGTGTCTTAAAAATATACAACAATTTTATCTCTCTATGTGTTCAACACATTTGTCACGAGAAATACATTGTTTTTAGTATAATTAAAGTGGAGCACAAAAATCCTTTTAAATTGTTTTCTCACTGAAATATTTCATTAATTTTTCAGCGAAATTCTCGTTAAAATATACGTTCAGCGACTCGAAGTGAAAAGTCTATATAAAACACATCTAAACACGAAGTTTAGGATTAATGTTAAGACAGAAGTTTAGTTTTTCGCTGTATATTAGTCGCAAATGTATCACTTTATGTCGAGATATCAGTATTAGTCTAATGAGACAATTATTGCTGTTATCGATTGTTATGGTGTAGTGTTTTTTGTGTGCATTTTTTTCAGACAATTAGTTTGGATTGTATTTTATGAAAACATTTATGCAGAGAAAAAATGTTACAAAATATATATAAAATTCTTTGTAAAGGATTTTTGTCTCAAAAGTGAATGCAATTAAAATAATTGCTTTCCGAGAGAGAAATCGTCGAAAACTATATTTTCTAATATTTTACGAGTTTTTTAACTTTTAAAAAATCAAATATAAATTCAATTTATATTAAATTTATTATTTCATCGCTTTTTATAAAAAAACAAAGTAAAATGTAAAATTAAAAGGATTTTATTTTTTGAAGTTATACTTTTACAAATGAATTCAATTATGCAATCCTTGAATTAGTTTTTTAAATAAATCGTACGAAAAGCTTGAGATAAGACTTTTTAGAAATTTAATTTTTAAAACTATATTTTCCTAGTTTTCTATGTTTACGACTGACTTGTATTTCCATTAGCGATCATTATTTTTATAGTGCCGGCGCTCTCTCAAACATCGCAGGATATAAGGGTTAAAAATTGAGTTTAAAATAAAATACATACAACTGACAGAGCAAACAATGGGCTGAGAGAGAGAGAGCGAGAGAGAGAGAGAGATTGTATAAAATAATTGGATTCAAACGAGAGTAGTCTTTATATACGTATCGACTCTTTCACTATCCCTTTCCATTTGACTGGTAGGCCCACCAGCACTGGTAGGCAAATCAATTCCAGTGAAAACTCCATTCTTATTATAAGGCAAATGGAAAAAAGCTTTTGTGTTCATATATTTTGTTGAATAATGTTTTCGCTGCGAAAGTAAAGTATATAATAGAGAGAGAAATACAGCGACATATCGGTTGTTACAGTGAATGCAAGGCTTAATATCATAGCACCAGATATTGGACTCACAAATGCAATCACTATATGTGCTCTCAATATGTTTTTTCTTTCTACTCTTTGCCCCTAAAATATATATACATTTCTTGTGTTTCAGTACTTGAGTACTAAATAATAAATTTTTTTCTGTCGGAGTTTATATTCATTTCATAACTCCTATGAACAATATTCTCTCGCATTAGTCACTCGATCTCCCGTTCCCTCCTATTTCGCTCATACACTCAATGAGCACCGCATAGCATACCAGTTGTTAAGGTATTATCAGAATTAATAATTCAAAAGTGATTTGAAATGAGAGTAGAATCACATTAAATAAGATATAGCAATGAATTCAAGCCATTCATTGCTATATTGTTATTGATGTATGAATACTGGGTCTAATGATCGCTACTTTTCCTACTCATGTATGTCATGAAAATTATGGGAAATGTTTGAAATAATATAATCTTTATATATAATGTAATTTATTATTTATAATATATTTCTATGTGTCTAATCACTTACTCTTATTTTTCTCCACTCATAATATAGTTAACAAAAACCTGAACTTATGGGACGAATCAGCGACGAGTGGAGAGAATAATAAGTTATCTAATATTGAATCAGAATTTCTAGAAAATCAACAAAAAGACGAGAGACTAGAAAGAGGTATGAAATCCAATACAAAATAACGTACAAAAGAAATATAAATTAATCGCATGTAGTAATATTAGAAACATAATACATAAAGTTTATAAAATAAAGGGAAAGGTATCCGATATATTTATTCAAAGAAATTAAAAAACAAAAACCAATTCCAAGAATAAGACACAGTATTATATAATGCATGAGAGTTATAGCCATACAAAGTAATAATGTATTATATTTTGCGATAACATTAAAGCCATTATTGTTTAGCAAAAATCCTCTTTTGTGTGCGGATTCTGAGTGTTTCTCGTGAATCGTTTTGTGACTTAAATTTTATGTAAATATGTAAACACTAGAAGAATATTCTTAAGGAATTTGGCTTTTTCTCCCGTATTCCTTATATGCGATATATATATATATTTTATCCATAAGTTTATGTAAAAATCTCGACGAAAGCCAAACCTAAACCTACAAACAAGAAATGAGAAAATAAATTGAATAAAATTGAATCCGCTTTGCCTTTGCAATCCTTATATCTAACAAATCAAGGAATACATACGAGAAACACAAGAATTACATTAAAAGCCAAAAGAAAATAATATATTATAAATGAAAACGAAATGTTAATCTATTTAACAAGATATTAAAATATGATATTCGCATAAAATTATCCTTAATTTGATTAATAAATATCGATTTCTTTGCTACAAATAACAGGTAGTAAAATAATTTTGGGTGAATTCACGCTATCGAACCGGCAGTACAGCACTGCCCTATCGGATGTATCTACACCTGAGTTTGAAACGTTGGCGTCAGATGTGGTCAAATCGGTATGAATTTTGTCTCATATTATTATTTTTGTCACTGTTTTGACACCAAAAACGGCAATTGAATTATAACAGTCTCTAATAATAATAATTTTTACACAAAATGATAATAAATTAAAACAGAGCTCTGAATAAGTCTATGAAAAGGCGTTATTCACTCTTTAGTGTGTCTTTTGTTTGTATTTTTCTAATGATTAATAATAACAATATTTTCATCAATAATTTTATGCAAATCCCCAAAAACACAGACAATTGTATGGAATTAATTAAATGAAATGCTTAAAGCATTGCCACAATTATCATTGATTTTAAGAGATTTAATTCATGCATACATTAACCGAAAAGCTCTTTATTTAGTTTATATATTCACTGATAATACGGAAAAGTGATCACAGAATCAGTGCACCACAGAATCATACACACAGAATATATTCTGTTATATTGTTTATATGATGACAAACACACACAAAGAATTTACATAATTAATAGACATTACATTTCAATTGTAGATGTATTTTGTGTGGAAATTAATTTATTTGTTCGACTAATTCAATAATAACTGATAAAAAAGAAAAGAAATTTATTTTCCTTTCGATTCTTTAGTTAAGGAGAAACTCAGAGACTATTTGTTAATCAAATGCATACAATCAATGTCTTAAGGCTGGCCCTCACAGGCATTTGCACTGAATATATAGAAAGTTTCTTTTTGTCTAACTTTCAGCAAAAACTCCTCAAACAGCTCTCTCTCTCTCTCTCTCTCTCCCTCTCTCTCTCTCTCTCTCTCTCTCTCTCGGAATTTCTGTAAATATCGCAAAGAGATAGAGAAAACCAAATTACAGTCTCATTAGCCGAAAGTGTATCACAAAATGGGATTCAATTTAATTTTGCTATTATTTAATTTAATTTATATTTCTTTATCGCATTCATTAAAATTAATTTTAATTTATTTTCCGCTAACAGATGGACGAAATGTTTTTGGAGAGTCCTTTGGCCAAAATATATAACTTAACACAAGTCTATGAATTTAGGTGAGTCCTACCAACTCATGCGATCACCGATTAGCCAGCAAATTGTTTGTGCACTACTGTTCCCATAACTCCGATATAAAACTCCTATTCTCTAAACGATTGAATGATATATTCATTGAAAACCTCGCTTTCCATACGAGTGATGGGAATAGCAGTGAAGCGAAACGAAATTAATTTGTATTTTAAAACACAATTTACTAAACATTTTGCGTATCACTCCTATGACACAAACAGTGAGAGCAATGCGGGGGCGGGTGTTGTCGTCAAATGTCGGATCTCATTGAATATCGTACTCTTGACGGCCGCACAAGAAGTGGGCCTCACTTTCATCAACGCATTGGAGAGAAGACACGGCAGACTACCGGCCGGTAACCTACGCGTCGACATCACGACCATTAAATTCACAGGTCTTTTGCCCACACTTTTTATGATTGCATTTATTTCTCAACCCATTTCCACTTCACACACGTTTAGTACCCAATCGTCATTTTATATCGAAAAATACCATTTAATTAACTCTCCATATGTGCTGAAAAGTAGTTAAACTTTTATTATACCGTATTCTGTGCTTGGTTATCACAGTATATCACAGTATATACACAGTATATCTTCATTTGTAAAAGAGTCAGCCCTTCCCCTCTCTATCTAAACCTCTATTCAATTGTAAAACTCATATCACTTGTAGTTTTATGACGGCGTCGACTATTAACAGTAGTTTTTGGTGATAAGAATTAATTAAAATTTTGTCATTCAATGGGAAAAAATCGTATATTCTGTAGACATATCAAAGTGTTTTGAACCCAACAGACAAACCCCGTAATGAATTGAATTCATGGCACGGGTGACATCATTTCTGAGGTCCACAGTATGTGTATAGTGTACTGCATAACGATTTTACTTGTAATTTATATTTTGATTCCCTATTAAAAGCCATTTTCGCTGCACATATCAGTTGAACATTATATAAATGATTGATAAGTGCCGGGGATTAGCACACAATGAGTGAAAAATACGTGAATTTCGCGTTAATGAGAAATAGTGTAACCATTCACTACATGACAAACTACTCAATGAAAAGCTCCCGATCCTCTCAACCAAGGGATCACTTTATGCTCAAGTTTTATGTATTATTATATATTTCTAACATTTAATTAATTTTTTAATCCCTTCGTCGCTATCAAATTGTTATAATAAAAGCAAAATCAGTGTTCATTTTGAAACTAATCTCTGTTTTGAATCAAGTGATGAGAAAATATTGTTTATGTCTTTCACTTCAATTAAGACTATATCTCGCATTGAATTGAATTGTGTGTCACTGGTATGGGTTAATATGAGCACAACCTTTAGGCTGCTAACCCTAAATCCCAGTCCAATGTAATATGGGGTAGTAGTGAATGATTGTGCGATAATTGATTTATAGATATCAATGGATTGAATACATCATTAATTTAATGTATGAATAGGACAGCGAGTTATCAATGCATTCCTCCTTTAAGTCTTATATCTCTGCAAATAGAGTGTGTTTTTCATAGGAATTGCAATTGAAATCTTTGAGTCAACGGAATCGGCAAATAAATTAGATATGTTTAGAGGGAATGTCTTATTATGGATGTGCTCTTGAATGGCAATCACATCGTAAAGATGGAGAGAGAGAGAGAGAGAGAGAGAGAGAGAGATGTTTTAGCCATACGACTAAATAAATTTGCTTTATTGGGTCTCTCGTTTGCCTACCAGTACTCTGGTAGTTATGATGTCATTTATAGCCTGAGCCAAATATTTCACAAAACCTCCATTCCCCTCTTATCGCTCAATTCAATTCAATATACTATAAGACGTTTCAATAACTTGTCTATAAATGTCCTCGCCATATATTTTTGTGCACTTTATTATATGTTATTCCGTGTTATACTGTATATCTATGTAAAAAGTATATTGAATGAAATTTATTTTTTTATGTTTATGTGTCGGTTATGTATATATTTTATATATGTTTCAAACACATCGCATAATAGATGTGTGCCTTCATTATCACACAATTTCTATGAATAGATTGTGTGTAAGAAATATAAAGTGAAAAAATTGAAAGATTTTTTTATTTGAATTCATTTCTTATGGTGACTCTAAATTATAATAAAACCATTTTTCAATCGACGCACTGATACCTATGGATAGTATGAGTATATATTTTTTGTGTAGTGAACAGTCATATTAGGGATTGCGAGAGAGAGAGAGAGAGAGAGAGAGAGATGTTTTAGCCATACGACTAAATAAATTTGCTTTATTGGGTCTCTCGTTTGCCTACGAGTACTCTGGTAGTTATCATGTCATTTATAGCCTGAGCCAAATATTTCACAAAACCTCCATTCCCCTCTTATCGCTCAATTCAATTCAATATACTATAAGACGTTTCAATAACTTGTCTATAAATGTCTTCGCCATATATTTGTGTGCACTTTATTATATGTTATTCCGTGTTATACTGTATATCTATGTAAAAAGTATATTGAATGAAATTTATTTTTTTATGTTTATGTGTCGGTTATGTATATATTTTATATATGTTTCACTCAAACACATCGCATAATAGATGTGTGCCTTCATTATCACACAATTTCTATGAATAGATTGTGTGTAAGAAATATAAAGTGAAAAAATTGAAAGATTTTTTTATTTGAATTCATTTCTTATGGTGACTTCAAACACATCGCATAATAGATGTGTGCCTTCATTATCACACAATTTCTATGAATAGATTGTGTGTAAGAAATATAAAGTGAAAAAATTGAAAGATTTTTTTATTTGAATTCATTTCTTATGGTGACTATGATATGTGCCATTCCCTCCTTTCCTCAATAAAATCACTACTTTTTTCTGGCGCTCAATATTACCGCAAACTTTCAATTTATATTGAATTGTACTCCAGTTTTATTGCAATGAAAAAAAGTTCAATTTTATATCCCGATAAAAATCTCTCACTAAAAGTGCATATAATTCCCGGAAAAAAACTTTTAATAATAAAAATTGTGATACAACTTTTTTCTGGATACAATATATTCATGAATTGAATGTTTAGTAATACACTGTATGTAAAAAATAGTGTTCAAAAAATTGTTAAACACTTAACGGTTTATATTATTGTCTGTATTTTGCACTTTTGGTCTCTCCATTAAAAACCAGAGAAAAAAATCTTGAACTCCACACAAAAGCGAATCCCAAATATAAAACAATAAAAGTTTTTTTTATCGCATGTGAACGGCAACTAATGGCATGTATTTCTCACTCACACACTCGCCTACCATTCCCCTTCATTCACACACACTATTAAATAGATAGATAGATAGAGATACCGTAACTATCTTTCCAGTGCACGAAAAACTTTTTTCTATTTCTTATATAACTCACACTTCTCTCTCTCTCTCTCTCTCTCTCTCTCTCTCTCTCGCAATCCCTAATATGACTGTTCACTACACAAAAAATATATACTCATACTATCCATAGGTATCAGTGCGTCGATTGAAAAATGGTTTTATTATAATTTAGTAGATATGAGAAGCGGTAGTGCTATCGGCGCTAAACTCACTGATGATAACTTAGTGCATGAAAACAGTGTTCAAAAGCATAATGTGTTGGACTTATACCGAAATAATTCCTTATCTCCGGTGCCAACGCTGTCACTACACTATTACGACTGCCATCAGACATACCAGTGGTCGGGTGCCCAACGACACCATTATGACTACAGCACTGTTATTAGCGATATATCTGCGCCGACCTACTCTATGGGCTCTTTGGCGTCGATGGCATATATTAGAGGGAAGCGTAATGTGATCGGTGGCACTGTAGCAGCTGCTGGTGCTGTTGTCGGTGCCAATGATACCGTTACCACTGTTTTGGATGATGGCATCACAGATAATAAATATTCTGCACGTGATTTCGCTAATACTAAAGGCATGTCTTCTAATGGTTTGCTATTAAATACAAACTATCGATAGATAACAGTATAACACATAACATATAAATAGAGCACAATATCCGACACTAACTTATTATACGGTTTTATGTAATATAACTGATATAAGAGATAATGATTTTTGCTAATGATTTGCCACTGAATTCACTCACAATATAATGGATTACTTATTCTTCACTTATTCTTCTGGATCTCTCAAATGAACTCTTTTTGCTCGACAATAGAGACCAGAGATATAATGGTAGCGAATGACGAGACTGTAACTCAAATGTCGTTTAATGAGCCGCTATTTAGTCGCGTAATGCATGCAAATGATAGCACCCAAGGAGGACGGGCGGCCACTGATCTATCAAAGCAATCAAAGCACATAACCATAAATACTACTCATTATTATATGACTAGAGTCTCGGAATGGGATTTAAACGAATCTTCGCGTTCATTATTTATAGCCTTATCCACCGCCACAGCCAGCGCGCCGGCACCTAATGCCAGTGCCCCCGAAGTTGCCGGCTCTCCAGCCCCCAGTCCGCCACTGATGCCCAATGGCTACCGACCAGTGATGGCTAATACCGGAAATGGTTTGGCAACTGATTCGCCGATCGCTTCTGTTGTAAAGGGCAGTCATGATGGAAGGGATGGTAAGCCAGACTCAGCCATCACTACGGGTAAGTACATCAGCACTTGTATGTCAGCACTTGTATGTGTGTGTCTGTGCTCTACCAGTTTTGCACATCATTAGTCATTAAGCCCTACTAACAAGCAGAAAACTTTTTGGATTTACTCTCTCTCCTACTACTCAGCCATCATCCCTTTCTGTATGCCTTTCCATCTCTCATTGGCATCCCTTTCCATCCCTTTCCTACAGTTCCTATTCTTAACTCCACTCTTCACTTATTCTGTTATACTTTTAATCTCTTTTTTCTCTTAATATTTCGTTTACTCTTTTGTCTGCGTTTTTCATCCAAAGAGCAAAAGGAGATTATATTTAATAAATACTTCGAGTTTTGTGTGTCTTTAACACTAAATACTCACTTACGAGTAGACAATAGCCGACAATAAAGGCATGTATTATGTGTTTAGCAGCGGAATAGTGTCCATGTCTTTCGAGAATTGCTTTCATATGTGATATTTAATAACACAAACCCTTTTAGATGATGAACTCCATGTCTGACACTTAGCGTTCATTTTTATATATTATATATGGAAATAAAAATGAAACTTGTTTTACACCAAGAATTGCAAATTAAAAGTTAATATTAATGTGATGTTTAGCCCAAACATATCATAGCATTATATACTGATTGCTAGGAAGTGTTGGGAAAGTGATGAAAATCCCAAAGAATTTGATGATTGATTATATGTTAGAAATTTTTAGTTTTGTATTATGAATAACACATACATTTCGTATTATATTTAATGCCATGAGTTTTGAGCACAAATAATCTCTCTCTCTCTCTCTCTCTCTCTCTCTCTCTCTCTCTCTCAATATTCCAGCACTCATTATACGGAACATACAGACAGTTATATCGTATATCATATGAGCGAAAATTAATGACAAAATAGTTATGAATATAAAACACTAAATGATGAGAAATTATTAATGAATTTTTGAGATCCAAAATATATGAAAATAGTTTTGGTTGTATGTGTGTAGTATATTTAGTTTAATTGAAAAATTTTTGTTTTCAAAAACACAAGTTTTTAGAATCTGTATAAAAAGCTCTAAAAAATTTTGAGCAAAACTTTTTCGCTGAAAAGAGAATATAATAACAAAATGAAAATGTAATCAAATGCTAGTTTTGTGCCGAATTTGGGGCACAACTACTGTATAAGCAATCGATTTCTCAAACTTAAGAATAGTTTTACTTATTTAGAGAGTATTCAGAGTATTGTCTTTGACTTAAAGTTATATTTTACACACACTTTCTCTCTCTCCCGACATTTAGCCTAAAAACAGAAACAAAATTACATTTGATTCTTGAAACTGAAATTCATTGTAAAACTAATCCATTCAGAAAAGCCATTAATTAGTCGTAAAGCAGAGTTTGTGTTCAAGACTATTGTTACTGTGTTTTTGCAATTGTTTTGTTTTTTGTGACTCTAAACGAAAAATTAATTATTTAAAGGACGAGAAGTCGACTCCAAACGACTCGTGAATGAGCGACACGACAACGACGAGGATGTAGTGGTAGTGGACAGGGATGTGGTGAATGTGGGCGACAATGAGAGAGTGGGGGCGAGTGGTGGCGATGGGACAGCATTTTGGTCTAATTGGTCGGAGTGGTCGCCCTGTCGTGGACTCAATAATAAGTGCGATTCCGGCAGAATTCACAGCAGAATCCGGAAGTGTTTGGCACACAATGGAGACGTCCTTAACAGCGATATCTGTCGAGTGAGTCATAGCGAGCAACAAGAGCTCGAGATTAGGGACTGTCGGTGCGATGCCACCGATTCCTCCGCAGAATATAAGCCTAACTCCACGTCCAGTACTAATGAGACGTCTCAGCACATCGGCGGCGAGCAGAGTATGTATTATACGATTGCATTCATTTATATGATAGACCACTGGGATCACCAGGGCATTAGTCGTAATATTTGCATATATTTAACGTAATTGTGTGGATTAAGCCCTTAATTACTTTTCACTAAAGTTTTAGCGCATTTCACGGAATAGTAAAAATTATTTTTAGCTAAAGTATACAAATTATTAATGTATTTTGGGAATAGAGAGTATTTTTTGCACAAAAATATCCATTCAATTACTGATTTATACAATACTTCATAGAGTGCTAAATGTCAATACAATCGACTTTTTTCGTTTTGATATCTGAATTACGGCATAAGTATAACTGAAGTATTCATTTGGTATTAGTATAGCAAATGCAATGAGAAATATGGAGATAAGACTCTAACAAATATCATAAAAGAGGTGCTTAAGTATTGGCTCCACATTCACCATCAAATGCATATAAAATATATTATTAATATACATTTATTTTGCGAATAACTTCTCACAATAGAAAAAACTATTTATAGCATTAAATATTAATTATCAAAGAATTCATACGAATAGAGATTTGTCGAGAATTCTCGCTAATGGTGTGAGAATCGAGTCGACAATTCATTGTGTTTTTTGCGCAAATGTTTTTTGATTAACTTTTCGTTTAGCCATATATTTAGTGCACATCTCATATGAATTTAGTCCTAATCTCTGCATTGACTTTCCCATGCATTTCCAGCGCCCGGTGCCTGCAATGGCTGCAATCAAAACGAGATCTGTTTGCTTCAAGTGAAAGCTGCCGTTCCCTTCTGCGCCAAAATTAAGGACCCCAGAGATCCGAGGTTTGTATTCAGTCATTGGCTCCACTTTTTTGTTGGTTGTGGCCATCATTTGTGATTCATTTCTGTCCGCATTTTCTTCTCTCGCATTCAAAAACAATACACAAACTAAGAGCCAAAACTAAACTAAACTCAAATCACTATTTATTTCGCTTCACTTACTTCTAACAGTTTTGCCATTCTTTCGCCTTATTTTGTGACAAATATTTCTGTTTAGAAAATCGTTTATTTTTATTTATATCTTTTCTATTTGTTTTTTGTGTCCATTCAGTGCTCTCTCTCTCTCTCTCTCTCTCTCTCTCTCTCATCAATTGTATGCCTCTTTTTATGCCTCTCTGTGTTTGACCCGAATTCATGATTTATTTATTTATATTTAACTACTTATATGTTTGGTTCAGAGGGTGTGGCGGTTGGTGTTCAGGCCATAAAGAGTTGTGTCGATATGTGGCCACAAATACATATCAATGTGTCGACGATTCAGGTAATGAACACATTTATTGCAATCAATAAAAACACTAACTTTTTAATATCTCGGATATAAAACATTGATTAGAATTACAAAACACAGACATTATTATTATTATTATTATTATTATTATTATTATTATTATTATTATTATTATTATTATTATTATTATTATCAGTAATTTTACACTACATTCGCCACATTTTCTAACGGTTTATACGAGCGATAAAGTTTCACTGAGAAATAAAAAACTTTATTTTCAATTAATTTAATCCCCGATTGCCATCAAAAGAGATGTCAGATATTTGAACACAACTCACAAATACCTAAAAATTCTCAAACTTTTTCGCCGTGTATTGGATATAAAACTTTTGTTAAGTAATACTCATCGGAGACATCATTTGATAGGTCTGAGGAAAAATGGTTTTATATGTCTTGAGATTTAGTTCAATGAAGAAAAGAGACCCCGAGTTTTAGGTTCACTTTGGCTGTATGTCTGAGTCTCTGGTGTTGAACACTTAGCCCGTAATGGGAATAAATGCGATGAAATTTGTAATCACATCGCCACTGATTTTGTAGTGCAAAGCGACTTTCATATCGCACACATAGAAACGGATGAGACTTTTTATTTCAGATACTGATATCCAACTGATCGGAGCATCAGTGAGCAAAAAATTGATGTGATTTATTAGGAAACTCTCTCTCTCTCTCTCTCTCTCTCTCTCCCAGTTTTGCACATCATTAGTCATTAAGCCCTACTAACAAGCAGAAAACTTTTTGGATTTACTCTCTCTCCTACTACTCAGCCATCATCCCTTTCTGTATGCCTTTCCATCTCTCATTGGCATCACACGTTTTGACACAACAGATAGTATTAGTTGAACACAACTACAGTAGTAATTGGAAATCGCTAACAGATTTGTCACACAAATACCATTCTCTCTCTCTCTCTCTCTCTCTCTCTCTCTCTCTCGTCCTTTCCTTTTGCACACCATTTCGTGAAACGATTGTCAAAAACTTGAGATTTATTGATAGGCTATGATATGTTTAGGATTGATAGGCCCCTACACACAACACTCAACCATAAAAACTGACTCTAATATTCACTTTCAGCGCACAAACAGAATTTGAGACAAAACTAAAAGAATAAAAATAAAATTATATTTATATGTATTTTATATGTGTTCGCCACCAGAATATTCTGTATTCTCAGAGATAGATATTGGTATAAATCTGTGCACTAAACACATAAAGTGAATATGACTTTGGTTTCTATCGATAGCATAGATAAGACTTCTATTGGGAATCACAAGGCTTTTAGTGATAAAAACATATACAATAATACGGAATAAAATTCTGGGAACTTATCTCCAGAATAGGAAACATAACGAATAAAAAGCAAAAGACCTAAAAACGACTGCAAACACAAACCCAAACCAAAACACAACGACTAATATATCACTGCAATTGTCAGTCAAAAAAAGCAAACACCGAAATAATAAGTTAATTTGCGTGTTTGGCAACGGCATATATCACTAAAATATTTATTATTCAATTAAACGCCATTTATATCCGAGTCGTCCACATTAATAACAAGGACATATCATAAGTCAGGGCAAACTAATTATCATGATATTTATGTCTATAAATAATAGAGTGTTTGGAGGGCGAGTGGCAGTGCGCTAATGGCTTATGTATACCGGAATCCAGACGTTGCGAGTAAGTACTCCACACAACACTACACTGATTAGAGAATTAAGAGAATATTCTTATTTTATTTTCGCTTTAAATTTATTTTTCTACGTTTATACTCATTATGAGCTACTTATTTTAAAAGCTTAACATAATATTAGGGATCAATTACAGGCTACATTAGTAATATGGGAGCACTCCGGTTTATTACTGTTTATAGTCTAACAAATTATTTTATTGCCCTTTGTTTGTTTACTGTGTGATCTAAATATGTAAAATACAGTTACTGTATAGTGTAGGACTTTAATTTTATTGTCTATTTGAGTAAATTATAAAATGTTTTTAGTTCGTTAAAATTCTATACGATTGTTTGCCCATCCCTTTAACCATTACCTCCCATACCCTCATAATTCAATATTCAATTAATATTTACTTTGAGATTAGAGTAGAAATAAAATGCTTTAATATTTAATTTAATTCTGTGCTCTTATATCGACCTAAATATACAGTTATATACAGAATATATGTCTGAGAAATAAAATCTCGATCTTAACTGAAATCTTCTTATTTGATGCCATTTTAGCGGACATTTTAATTGCTTTGATATGAGCGACGAAACCCATTGCAGTTGCAAAGAGGATGAGTTTCACTGCGGAAACAAAACCTCTTGTCTGCCGATCAGCCAACGATGTGATGGTATTTATTGACATTTTATTGTTTATATTAAACGTATATATTCTGTGTATTGAAAGTCAATATTTCTTATTATAAATGTCATACTTATATGCCTTTTATTCACTTATATTAAAAGTATAGCTAATACTATAAAACTTTTCGTTAACCACAAACCCTATTACTACATAGGGTATATTACCCTGTATATTGATTATGTGCACGCTATAAGGAATTGAAAAATATCGTAAACTTTATTACAGCAAATAATTTATTATTTATATATGAGATATAAAAACAAAAACAGCAAAAAGTCCCCGAAATATGTATTAATTTTATTGAATACGTTTTCAATCATTTCCATCCATTTATTCATTGAATTGAATTGATTTTTATATAACTTTTATATGATTTTTATTCTTAAGGAATAATTCATTGTTGGGATGGAGAGGACGAACAGAATTGCACGAAATGTAAGCCAAATATAAATAAATATAAACATAAATAAATGAAATGTCTTTTTCATATAAAATATAATTTTTATTTTTTCCTTTTTATAAAATATATACATTTTTATATATATTTCATATTCCCATTGAATCTCGTATTTCCAGTCCTTTTCGACTGTTTTTTCTTATTGTGAACTGATTTTTATTGTGACGTTCACTGAATTTATATATTTTATGAATTGAATTCTCATTTCTCTTATATATATATACAGTATATTACTATAAGAGAGTGTCTCTCAAAATCAAAACTTTAAAAAAATATACAAAATTCATGCCTTTTCTACACTACATACACAACACATAGAGTGCGAGGGAGTTATGAATGACAGCTGAAATGCATAGAGAATACACCATTCAATACAAAATACAATACATACAACAAAATTGTTGAAATTTAATCTCCAGACAAAAATGGATAAAATTTTATTTTCCTATTCTTTTGAATTTTTTCAGGAATTTATAAGAGTTTTATTGAACATAATGTCTTGATTTTTCATCTCTTATTTGCCGTATAAATCATTTTCTAATCTATAGTTTTAATTAAGGAATAAATCTTTATTTTAAAAGTCAAATTTTAATTCTACTGTTTCATAATCCTTATAAAATATTATTTTTTATCAGAATTTTATATGTAAATAATTCTTGAGGCATAAGTTACTTAAATATATACAATAAGCTAATAGTGTTTTATTAAGAATATTCTGTTTTTTAAATCTTTTGCATAAGTTTCTTATATGTAAGAAATAAACGGAAAATACTTTTGAGCTCTGCTTTACAGTATTATTCTATTGATAAAAGTAATATTAAAGTAGAGTATTTGAGTGTTTATTATATGAATGTATTTTTAATAACTTTCAGAGACACAGGTTTTCAAAATAGAGATAAGAGGTGAGTGACTGAATGAGAGAGCAAAGTTTTATGCCCCCAGAATATTCTGCAAATTCCTATTTAATATTATTTTTTATAAAAATACTTATCCTATACGCCTGTCCTTTACTTTAGACTCGTATTAATAAATGAAATTTTTATGATTTTCTCAACATTTTTAAGTGCATATAAGACGCGAACGTTTACTCCATTATTATTAATAAAAGTCTTCAAAATCTTTGACTTTTCTTAACATTTTAGGCCTAAAGCCATGTAACGTATTAGCTCTCTCTCTCTCTCTCTCTCTCTCTCTCATCTTTTACTGTAAAACTATATAATTATATATTTCTTATGTTCACTTAAAAATCCCTTTTTTTATTTGTTGTGTTTTGTCGATCACTAAACATAACGAAAGCAAACAAATTTCTCTTAAACACATCCACTGCAAGAATACATGTTTCCGTGTATTAGAAATAAATGTAAACACGAGTGAAAATTATTTTTACAAAAAAATGATTTATAAGACAAAACAAATACTCACTATTTTTTGTTTTACTTTTCAATTGTGTTTAGTTTTGATAAAACATTTATTTTTCTGTTTAGATATATTGAGAAAGTTTTATTTAATTTATGTAATGGGTTTCTAATACATATATATTGATATAAATATTAATGAAATTAAAAATGGACATACAGTATATAAACATAGAAATATGGCATAGAAATAAGTTAGTTTGAAATATTTATGTTTTTATTCAAACGTAAAAGGATTATTTAGTAATATCTATGATTGCAACAAAGTGTCAGAATTTTTGAATTTAATTATAACATTTCGGTCTAAAACATATCTATTCTTACCGTAACTGCCTATTTGTAAGACACTCTGCTATTATTTATTTTATTAAATTCTCTACTTTGTAGTGAAATATTTTTTTGACAGCCAAATAAAAGTTTTCTATTTTTCATATCTGTTTCAACACAAAAACATAATAAAACTCGTGAAATAAGACACTCTTATTCAAGCCATATGTGTGACTGAAAAGTGGGATTCAATTTATTAACAGTAAAATGAATTGAAAAGAAAACTTTGAGAATATTTTTCAAAAAAAACTCAAAATAAATGTTTTCACATTAATAATAGAAATAAGAAATCACAGAACTTTTTACTTTAAAACATATTTTGGTAAATTTTTAAAATTAAACTAAAACTTACAATAAATATACAAGAATAAAATACAATTCTGTTTATCTATGTTTGCCATTAATTTTACATAAATTCTTAGAATTTTCTATTTTTACTAAAAATTAATTATTAACATATGACAATAGATTATAATGACTTTTTATGATAATACATTTTTTTGTCAAATATTCATAAAAAAAATACACACACAAAACATTTTAGATAAATTGACAAACTATACAATTAACTCTTTTCCTCAATTACTAAAACACGACAATTGAGTGAATTATATAAAAAATATTTATAAATACAAAATATTTTGTTATCTATTTTTCTAGTTATCTTTTAGGCTGTGCTCTACTTATTCTCTATATATTAGGATCTGATTGTGTGTTTTGTAATGTACATCCCGCTAAACTTTGCTAAACAAGATATTTAATTACTATCCACTTTTTATACAGTATTCTCTCTCTCTCTCTCTCTAATCAGTGTAGTGTTGTGTGGAGTACTTACTCGCAACGTCTGGATTCCGGTATATCTCTCTCTCTCTCTCTCTCTCTCTCTCTCTCTCTCTTGCTCTCTCTCTCTCTCTCTCTCTCTCTGAAGAATGAAAATAAATTTTGTTAATTAATTTCTGGTGTTTTTATATTTGTTCCGATAGTGTGTTCAGAAAATCAATTCACGTGTAATTCAGGACAATGTATACCAATTGAATCGTTTTGCGATACACACAAACACTGCACCGATGGCTCCGATGAACCCGGTATGTAAACACAACCACACATCCCATTCCCATCGCCCACCCCTTTTCACTCCAACCAAATGATAGATGAGTTGCCAGTAATGACTGTGCGATTCGGGCAACAAAAGGCAAAAATTAGACAAATCTATGAGCGAATAAAACCCGGAATATTACAAAATCTATAATACATATAAAGTATATGTATAAGTATATGGAGTAGTGAACTATGGATTAAAATCAAATCTATAATTATAATCAAATTGTAATATTTGAATGCTATCTATAAGAGGGGAAAAAACTTGAATACAATTCGTATGATTGAAATTTTTTTATTGAATTTTGTGTTACTTTTTTCACATGCATTCTCGCCATTCAATTGGATATTCTGGCGATTCTGTGGTTCAATACACACATAATAAACAGACGGTTGCAGCGCCGGTACGGTTTGCAAGTCGCACGAATACCAGTGCAAGAATGGCAGATGTCTGTCCTCCCGGAGCGCAGTGTGCGATGGGACCGACAATTGCGGCGATGGTAGCGACGAAATTGATTGCAAACACGCGTCCAATCATACATCACAGCTGACCAGACAAGATGGTACACCCGGTGCCACAGCTATTAATAATTGACTCACAAATCCCGCTATAAAAACACAACACTAACCAAAATCCATACATCATTGACGGTCGTCCAGACCACTCACTCACACACACCATACCAGCCCTTTCAGACCATCAGCCCATCGATGGCTATAACAATAGCGGCGAGAGTGAAGATGTGCTGCTTTTTTGTGTCCATTATTTATTAATAGATTTTTTATTTTAACGACAAATGCCATCAAAAACGATGTGTTATAACAGAGTATATATTGATATATAGACAATGAATTAGGACGAAAAAATCCATCGACTTAACCATAATATATAGGAAAAGCATTTTTTGCTATTCTGGACAATACACTGAGAGCCACTCCTTTGTTGTATCGAAATAATAATAATAAAAATAATAAATAATGGTTTAAGTGTTTGACTGAAAGGATAGGAGAAAAGTGTGGACACAATGGGAGACACACGAAATCAGATGAAGTGATTAAATGAATAATTGATGTGAATTACAGATTAAATATGAAAAGTGCGAAACGTTTTCTCATTTGATTTATTGGTCTCTCCATTGGCTTATAATACATACGAGAATTTGTTTTTATATAATAGCAAACAGAATGCGTTTATGACTAAAACGAGGGCACAGTTTAGTTGCACTTAATTTACAATCAGTTTTTTCAATACACTTTTGGAGTCGAAACCAAATTGGGTTTTATTTTATTGTATTTTTCGCGTTATTTTGATGCGAAAACAAAAATCAAATATTTATGATATGATTTTGGACGACACAATGATATACAATATGAAAATTGTTTTCAATTATTATGTTTATTATAAAACGAATGGTCTCTGAATCTCTGGTTTTTAAATTATTCAATAATGTTTAAAAACTTTTTTATATTTAATAATTAATTAGTTAAGTATTTATTTGCGAAGTCATGAGAAACTAGTCATAAATACAAAACAATTTCTGTATGAATTAAAAAACCATTGAATTGTTTGGCAACAAAAATAAATATCAAAAGTTAATTGAAAAATGTAATAATAATAAATTTAATAATAATTATATGAATGATAAAACATGAAAAATATATAAAAATAATAATAATAATAAAAAAGTTAATTATAGTTAAAGGTTTACAAGATTTTAACAAATTGTACGACATTTCGACGAATATAATGACAAAAAATATTTTTTGAATACAAAAATTATATTTAAAACAAAAATAAATTATATATATGTCTATGTATTATATAATAATAATTAAAAAATATAACTCTTTTTCTACACGTTATACATAAGAATGAGTCATTAATTAGATAATAAAAATGCATTTTATGTTTTATTGAATTTTACTATTATTTATGATATTATATATTCAGTTGAACATAATCATTTAATATTTTTTATTTATATATAAGTTATAAATCAATTCATTAGTATCCAACAAAAACCAAATCAATTGTGAATCTCATTACATGTAAAGTTTACGTTTAAAATGAATAAAATAAATTTAAACTATAATACTTATATTGCAAATCATTGAATTCAAATAGTAAACAATAAATTTGTTCTCAACACAAATGTGCAAGCTAACTGTTAGGTTAATGTTTTATATTGATCACGATTCTGTAAGGATTGTATGAATAGTGTTGTAGTGATGCTTATGTGCCATCTGTTAGACTCGCAACTCATTCTTATATTAACTTTCAATTTTTCAATTCATTTTTTATATACTTTTTTAGTATTTATTTTATATAAAGAATGTTGTATTATAAGCATTTTAAACAGAATATAATCTTGATCGTATATTTTTGACCCCATTTTCCCATAAGGTTATGAGAATTTTGGTTCCGCAAACAATTTGTGAAACGTGTCCTTGCACCATTATACTGTACTGTATACCTAGGGGTGGGATTCTAATACCGAAACCGATCCGAAGTCCGGTCCGAAATTTTGGATTATTATTGGATTTGGATTGAGGCCCAAAAATTCAAATCGGATTTGAAATTTAAATTAGAAAAATTCAAAAAACAATCAAAAGTTTAAGAAAAAGTAATTGACGTGCATTTTTGAGGATCAGATAACGAATTACCTAGCAAACGATCTCTGAACTTTTTCAACTGGTTATTAACAAAAAAGTTAACAAAATTAATATATATATATATATTTATTGGTTCAAGGTTATAACATTAAACTATTCACCTATTTTCGGATTATTTTTGGGATTCGGATTGGATTGAGATATTTAGAGTTTCGGATGGGATTTGGATCGGATTTAATCCCAAATATTACGGATCGGATTCGTACTATAATCAGGAATTTGCTCACAACTACTGTATGCCATTTCCTTAGTGTTAAAAAGCAGGGTCTTTCAGTCCCCGGAATCACTTTTGTTGGGGCCTTCAAGTCCTTATGGCTTTTACTGTCAAACCCACCCCATGTTAAGTCTATATATAATTATATTATACTTAATGAGCTTAATTAATGACTGGTGGGGCAGGGGTACAGAATAATTGCATAAAGTGCGGCTTTTTCATAAGATAACTAATATTATAATCATGAACTTTTTATAAATGGATTTTATCAAATTAATGTCAAAATTATAATAATATTATTACATAGTTTATTGTAAAATTATATTGGTTACAGTAGATGAAAATTATTTAAATCAAGAATATGACGAATATTATGAAAACCAAGAATTTCATTGTACGGCCAATAGATGTCTACTCTGAACACACCGACCGTACATTCATTTAGGAATATTACAGAATATTTACAGAATATTACAGAATCCAATTCAAAAATTAACATTTATGGTAAATTCATTTATCACATTATTTATGATTTATTGTTTTATAAATACCTTACTGCAATTTATTTGTAATCACTAAATTTTACTTGAATTTACGTGATACCATGAATGTAGGAATGGCTTGTATACTTTGTAAGAATAAACATGCTAGGTTTTATTATGATTGGAAAAAATAATTAATATATAGAATAAATATTTTATCGTATCTTAACCTATTATGATATGAAAAGAGGTTTAAATACATGAAACTAGTATATGAAAAAATTATTCATAATTGAATGCACAAAGTTTGTCAACAAATACTTAGTAAAATTTCCTAATTGTATCAAATTATTATTCTGGACCACTTAGATATTTTGCATTTATATGGTACATACAAAGTAAATTGAATGCAAACGTGCCATAAATGGTACCTTACTTCAATTTAATAACGTATGAGATATTCTGGTATTTATTATTTAAATAAAATTTGTTTTAGAGCTGATTCAAATAAAATGATCCATCAACATCATACCTTCAATGTCATCATATACCGTACAAAATGAGAAAATAACTTAAATATTAGGGTATTCACAACTAAAACAAAAAACTTACCGAATAATCTATTTTTATCTGAAAATATCTGAATCGTTTAAAAAAATAATCATGGTAATATTTTATTATAAAATCTTTAGTTTAGACAATAATTTATAAATATCTTTGATTGAAAATAAACCAGTATAAAACACACTAATACACTGCAAACAAAAGCAACCCATAGGAGCTTGTGTGATCAAATGTGCCGGATGGTTTAACTTGAATTAAAGATTGTAAGCTTCAGTTTCGCAGTGACTATCCCTGGAGATCAGTCATCAAATGTAACGGTTTTGTGTTCACATCAATACAACTACTCATTGAATACGTGTCAATGAATTTGTTATATTTCTATATCTATTAAGTTCTGAACATCGCTATAATATGCCAACAGTTTTATGTAAAATTATTAGTCCGCAAATCAATCAACATTTATGACACCATTTTGCTCACCATTCTAGTCGGTGATGGACAGACTCTTTGTATATATAGCCTAAATAGGCTGACCAGTGGTCGAGTTTATTTAGATTCTTTAGGTTTGAAAATATATGTCTGGTTATAATATAATTAAATTCTGGAATTAAATCTCTAAAATTACAGTTTTATTAATTTGCTAAGATTGATAGAAATGACACTGGTCACCCCAAGTCAAATAGTTGTTTTTTTTATCCCTGTTTAGATCATAAATAATAACTAATTCTTTAAAGCAATATAAACAGCACTTTATCTCTATTGCAATATTGAAATGCAAAATAAGTTTAATAATAACAACAAAAATAGCAAATAATATATTTTGTCTCGACTTAACTGGAAGTGAATATTTCCATAACTGTTATAAAACGTGATCTAAAAAACTTGGGATACAAATCAAACAAACATAAAAACTATTATATTTATACACTATTGATATAAATTTCATCAAATATTTCGCTTTATCTCTGCGTGTATTTGGTATTCACAGACATTTCTGGGGAGAAAAAAAGCAAAAAATAATTTGTACCCAAAAAAATATAGTCAAAACTCTCTTAAATCCCCAAATGGTTTGCTATTTTGTGAGTCTCTCGCTATTTCTTAGACACATTTTCCACTCTCTTTTTTATTGTCATATTATTCAATCAAATTCGTGACAAACGATTTCGCGTAGAGTTTGCTGCGAAAACACATTTAAAAAGTTTTCCCAAAAACACGCATAAAATCCTCAGCTAAACACATAACACAACATCATTTGCACAAAACATTTACTATTCAAATATATTTCAATTGATTAAAAGTGAATTATCATTAATTTTATGCGAAACAATGTTGTCGTGTGTGCTTGTAATTTTGTATATAAATTATTTTTTGTTTTACATTTTATGCTCACTTTTATGTATAGTATAGCAGATTCTGTGCATAGATTTGGTGTCAATACGATTGTTGTACTGTTTTTCTCAGTCGACTGTGTATTCGCTTTCACAACACATTTCAACGCTAAATACATTATTAGATTTCGTTGTGTTTAGCACTCGTTTCCCTATTTTTCTTACTATTTCTCTCCATTTGTGATAAAAATCATTTGTCATAATGTCTAACAGAATATGCATTAAATTTGAACACAAGGAATATCTTGAATTCTTGAGAGAGAGTGAGAGAGAGTGAGAGAGAGAGAGAGAGCTTGGAATCAAACATTAAACAATCTTTTTTAAATAAGCAAATAAATCCTAAATAATTAAATATTTCATTAATTTTTGCCGGAAAAATCACTTTATTTTTCTATAAAGAATTATTTTTCTTAATAAGGGTTTAAAAACATTATTAAAAATGCATAATAAAAATGCCCTCAAAATGTATTACCAGAAAAAAATATATTTTAATTAAAAACGGTTTACAAGCATATATTAATTATAAATGAAAATATTTTACGTTTGAAAAGACAATAATATTAAGTCAACGAAAAACTTACAACTAATTAATTGTCTAAAGAATTACATTTTTCTCCCAAAAACCATTCACTTGCTTATAGTCTCACCGAAAAAACTGTATAAATCTCAGGCTTTAAAATGATATGTCATATGAAAGATAGAGATATAATATGTCATAAATGTGTAACAAATTTTTATTATAAGGACTTAAGTGACTAACCTTTTCGACAAACTTCTACTCTCTCTGCTGTGTACTAATAAATTGAATTTTTTGCTCAAATCTATCCATTCATTGTGTCATTGAATTAAAGTCACAGCGAAGAGCAAAAAATTGGTCTAAAAATCTTTCTCAACGGATTTGAACGACTCCGGGTACTAATACTACCAGTGCCTCGTAGTCTAACTATTTATTCTGGA